AATAATAATAATAATAAGAATAATAATAATAATAATAATAATAATAAAAATAATAATAATAATAATAATAATAATAATAATAATAATAATAATTTTATAATATAACATTTACGGATATCATAAAAATGGGAGTGAGAGACATCTATAACTGAAATCGGCAATTACTTAGTTGCCAACCCAATAGAATAACACGCTGTCAGTCGCTTTTAGAACTCGGTAAGTTCGATGTCGAACTGCCGATCGTTGAATCGAGTAATCGATGCTATCTAGACGAAGCACCGTCGACGAACGTTCATTTCGTGAGGGCGGATAAATTCTCGATGAGCAAAGTGTCGAGCGTGTCCGATATATGTAGAATCGATCGTAGTCGAAGATGTTTCTGGGAAGGACGGAGAAGTAATAATAATCGGAATGAAATAGCCGCACGAACGTTCGAAGAGCCGTTAACGACGCCGAGGAATGCGAACGTCTTCGTTTAAATGCGCTTTGCGGTGCCTAGAAAGTATAGATCATTCAAGCGCCGCTGCATCCTCTCGATTCCCACCCACGAGACGTTCCGCGCCGAGCAATTTACCAACCCCCTCGCCTCCGCGAGATAGGCCTGTTAACTCTTTGGGGCACAGGATTTCAGAAAATAAAGTGGAAATGCGCAGAAATTTTATCGCGTTTTAAGTTAAACAAAATTGGTATATTTTTATTAATAAATATTACATAATATAAATAAATATAAAGAATAATATATATATATAATAATATATAAATATTATAATAATACAATATAATATATAATTATAATAATTAATATAATATATATATATGTATAGATATATAATAATAATACAGAATAATATAATAATATATAATAAATAATATAAAGAAATAATAATAATTCAATTGAATTTGTTGTTACAGGGTGGGACTCAAATGTGCCAAATGGGTTCACGAATGCGCATGAAGCTATTGCGATATTTCGAGACGGGTCGAAAAATGTCCCATCATGCATTACCGTGCATCAAAAAGATGAGACATTTTTAATCCCACCCCATCCAAACGAGTTAACACGCTGATCGAAATCTAAAGAAATCGAAGGAACTTGCGGCCGATTAGTCGATGAAACGGAGGTTCAATTTGTCCCGCGAACTATGGTAAATTCTTCCTAGTTGATGCTCTGTTTGTGCACGAAAATAGATAATCTGCGTCTCGTTTTTATAGTCAGCGTTGAATTTCAACAAATAGGTTAAATACAAAAATGAAATCGTGAAGGCTTGTGATAATGTATTATGTCTTTCCTAATCGTTATTGTTTTTACCGAATTGAATCGTGCCAGTTAACGCAGACATCTCGTAAAGAGAGAACAATATTTTATATCTTCTTCAATTAAATAAAAGTTCTAATTGAAGTTAAAGTTATTTCTAATTTTATTATTTATATTATTATTTATTAATATTTTATTAATTATTATTTCTAATTTCTAAAGTATTTTCTAATTTAGTTAAAGTTATTTGCATAACTAAATATAATTCAATAGTCACCGATCGTCAATAACTGTAAAAACGGGCCGCAAGGCTCCAATAATCGTATCTAAATTTTTTCTTCACTGTAATTCTTCAATTTTCAAGGGACAAAAGTTCTACATTCAGAGAACGCTTCCCCGGCGACTTCGAAAGTCGACGAACTCTTTGCTTACCGGGGAAGGTTGACGAAATTAATTGGTTTTCTATCCGCCTCTCTCTTTCTTCGTCCTTCTGTTCTTTTCCGTTCTGTTTGCGGGCGTGATCTAATTAATGACGCGTAAACGATGTTTGATCTTTCAAGAAGCAACGAGCGTTCGAAAGCAACACTCGGCGTTCGAAAAGTAGGCGTTCATGACGAGAAACTGATTTTGCGCGAGGAATTTTCTGCTGCTACGGCCAGTGGGAACAGCTTTCACGACGACGGTAACATCACTTTTTACGCCGTCCGTTACGAGCCAGGCTAGACGTTGCCTGGCCAATGAACGATCGAGATTTATCGGCGTCTTCATAAACGCGTAAACCATAAAGAAGAAGTTGACCGACGCGTCGGGTCGCAACGTTTCCCCCGGCCACACCGAATATCCTATTTTGCTTGCAACCGATCGCGTTACAGTAATGTCTCTCTAATTGACGCTCAGATTGTGCACGAAAATGAACAATGTGGGAAGAGGGGATACGATTATTCGAGCCTTGAAGCTCGTTTTTATAATTGTTGATAATTGTTGATAATTCGTAACTATAAGACTCAAATTAATCGCATCTCCTCTTCCCAAATTGTCCATTTTTGTGCTCAATCCAAGCGTCAATAAGGAAGACATTACAGTACAATAATGTCTCTCTAATTGACACCCAGATTGACCACAAGAATCAACAATTTGGGAAGAGGGGATACGATTATTCGAGCCTTGTGGTTTATTTTTATAGTTATAAATTATATATTGTATTAATAATAATTATATATAATAATAGTAATTATTATATATATATATATATATATATATTATTAATATATATATTAATTATTATATATAATAATAATAGTTATATATTATAATATTATAATTATAAAAACGAGCCGCACGGCTCGAACAATCGTATCTCCTGTTCCCAAATTGTCCATTTTAGTGCGCAATCTAAGCGTCAATAAGGGAGACATTACTGTACTTCGAAACCCTTCGGGACGATTCACTCCGCGCGAACATTGTTTTCTCCGTTCGATTCGAACGAAATTCCAGCGTCAACTTTCCCACTCCTTTTCTCGATCGAGGAGTCGAAAAGTCGGTTGTTGCTCTCGGCGGAGCCGGGACGGCAAACAGACCGGCGGAAAAACACGTTTACACAATCTCATTGTGGAACGGTTTGCGCGCAGGCTGACCGAAATCGAGGCACGACCGAAGTTACGCCCTTAATTCGAAAATCCTGTTCGAAGTTTCTTCCCTCGCGAAGGCACGCTCCCGAATGTAACGAAACAACGCCGGAGCTTGTTTTTATCGTCGCGCAAACCGAAAGCAACAGGTCGAGTGTCGAGATCCTTTTTACTTGCTCGGATAATCCGTACGTTTCATCGTCATTCCGAAGCTTACAATTATACCATAGACAAAATATCGAAGCCGATGTTCAAAGAGACGTCAAATTAGTAAGTGGACTGCGAATTTTTATAACCTGTATTTAATTATTGTAATTAATTTTACAATGTTATAATCTAAGATTACGTATACTTTTGATTCCATAGACAAAATATCGAAGCCGATGTTTAAAGAGACGTCAAATTAGTAAATGGATTGCGAATTTTTATAACCTGTATTTAATTATTGTAATTAATTTTACATTGTTGTAATCTAAGATTACGTATACTTTTGATTCCATAGACAAAATATCGAAGCCGATGTTCAAAGAGATGTCAAATTAGTAAATGAACTGCGAATTTTTATAACCTATATTTAATTATTGTCATTAATTTTACAATGTTATAATCTAAGATTACGTATACTTTTGATTCCATAGACAAAACAACGAAGCCGACTTTCAAAAAGATGTCTAATTATTAAGTGGACTGCGAATTTTTATAACCTGTATTTAATTATTGTAATTAATTGTACAATGTTATAATCTAAGATTACCTATACTTTTGATTCCATAGACAAAATATCGAAGCCGATGTTCAAAGAGATGTCAAATTAGTAAATGAACTGCGAATTTTTATAACCTATATTTAATTATTGTCATTAATTTTACAATGTTATAATCTAAGATTACGTATACTTTTGATTCCATAGACAAAACAACGAAGCCGACTTTCAAAAAGATGTCTAATTATTAAGTGGACTGCGAATTTTTATAACCTGTATTTAATTATTGTAATTAATTGTACAATGTTATAATCTAAGATTACCTATACTTTTGATTCCATAGACAAAATATCGAAGCCGATGTTCAAAGAGATGTCAAATTAGTAAATGAACTGCGAATTTTTATAACCTATATTTAATTATTGTCATTAATTTTACAATGTTATAATCTAAGATTACGTATACTTTTGATTCCATAGACAAAACAACGAAGCCGACTTTCAAAAAGATGTCTAATTATTAAGTGGACTGCGAATTTTTATAACCTGTATTTAATTATTGTAATTAATTGTACAATGTTATAATCTAAGATTACCTATACTTTTGATTCCATAGACAAAATATCGAAGCCGATGTTCAAAGAGACGTCAAATTAGTAAGTGGACTGCGAATTTTCATAACCTATATTTAATTATTGTGATTAATTTTACAATGTTATAATATATATACTTTTGATACTTTCCTTCTCTTTTGATTTACTATAATATATACATATATACTTTTGATTCGTTTCGACTGCAAGAAACCTCGTCATTCCGTTCGCTATAAAATAATTCGACAGTTTATCGAATTCGGGGCGACATAACCTTCACATAACCTTGCTTTTAACAATCGTATGCGAGAAGTTGCGCTGGCCGAAAGCCTGGAACAATGCGCGTATGCGATGACGAAGGTAGTAGCATTGTTGTCCCGCGTGTGTTAAGCTGCGGAGAACAGATACATGGACGTTAAAGCATTACGCCGTATCGATCACGCGCGGACGTAGATCTTTGCGAGTAGGCAGCATGCGAGACTGCAGTTGACGGTTACCCGTTAATTTCCATGAGGGATGCATTTACTCCGCTACAGGGTGCGGTCGAAGTTGCAACCCGAACATGTCAGGCTAAACGAATCGTAAGAACGCCGAAGTAAATCGCTTCGGTAATTGCTCGAACAGCCAATGACGAACGTATAAAACGAAACTGCGAATATCATCCGGTCGTTCGGAAACAATAAACGGGAAGACAGCCTGACGAGCCTCGGTTCCCGTAGATTCTTCTCCGGGGAGAGAGAAAACGCGGACGAATTTCCACGTTTCATCGGAAATCACGGTCCAAGGACCCTTGAAACGTTGCTCACGTGACTGGTCCGCGGATGGATGCTGCTTTCCAAAAAGAAGAGAGCTCCAGCGAGCATTCGATAAGTTCCATGAAATGTCCCGAGCCCGTGCAGAGTATCGTTGGAAACGTTTAGCTCGTTATAGGTTTCCCGTTGATCGAGAAACTGAACGATCGACGATATATGAGCCACTCCGATCGACCCCACTTTCCCAAGATTTCTCATTATTACTAGATTTATATATAATATATATACAGATGTCCCAAAAATGTCTCGCAATCCGAAAGTGGCGGGTTCCTCGGGTCATTTGAAGCAACTTTTTCCTTCACAAAAATTTTCTCCGAGGCACCATTAACGAGTTATTAACGAAAAACAGTGACCAATGAGAGGCGAGCTCAGCTGCCGCGAGGCGGCCGAGCCAACGGCGCCAGCGGTCGAGCGGTCGCATCTCAGCTCAGCTGGCGCGAGGCGGCCGAACCAACGGCGCCAGCGGTCGAGCGGTCGAGTCCCAGTTCCGCTGATTAGCTCGGTCGCCTCGCGTCAGCTGAGCTCGCCTCTCATTGGGTTATATTATATATTATTATTATTATTATATATTATATATTATTGGGTTATATATATTATATCGTTAATAACTCGTTAACGGTGCCTCGGAGAAAATTTTTGTAAAGGAAGAAATTGTTTCAAATGATCTGAGGAACCCGCCATTTCCGGATTGCGAGACATTTTTAGAGAATACCCCGTATATATTATATATATATATATATATATATATATATATATAAATCTAATAATATTAATAAATAATAATATATAAATCTATTAATAATGAGAAATCTTGATATATACATTTATTTAGAAGCCTGATTAGTAGATTTATATTCGTGCTCGTTCAAGCTCTTTTCTCCATTTTGTCTGGCATACGTGCTTGATCGTTCGATCCGAGTGACTCACAAGCATATATATAACAAATCGAGTCTCGAACGATAACGATAAAGCGAGAGAATGAGACGAGGCGGCGTTCATAAAAATATCTGCTTTATTGTTTCAACTTGATTTTGTAGGGTGTCCCTTTTATTCCATACAATAAAATATGAATAGTAACAGACGTAACAATAATCATGATAACGCGTGTACAATACTAATAATAATGGTTGTAACCAGAGACTTGTATTGTTACGTAATTGGGGACACGTTGAATGGTTAGAAACTTATTAGCTATCTTCCTTACCTGTCTCTGCCTCGACACCAGAATTACATCTACATAAAAGATTATCGAGTGCTTTACAAAAGTGGATTCTCGCGGCACGCCGATTTTTTTTTTGGTGGGCTGCGCGCTTATCACAAAATCTCTTAAAGCGCCGCGCGCCGTGTTCGACGCGGGGCCGCTTTTTTTCCGGTTCGACGAAACTGACCGTGTCATGGGAGAACGCAGAGAAAAAAGAAAAAAAGAGAACAAATGGAAATGTTCGGATCGTTTCGCTAAATGCCTAAGGACAAAAAATCAGCTACATCGAGGCGCGTATCAAAAACCTGGAACTTTCCCTCACGTCGGAGCCGCGTCGACGCTCGGTTGCGGAACGCGAGAACCGTCGAACCTGTTTCCCCCTAGATTAACGTTTCTCCGACATCTAGTACATTCTCTACCAATAAATACAGATTACACTCAATTTTTAAAGTCCATGATTAATTACGCTTTTAAGACGAGAGCGACGTATCGTTAACGTGGTGCGCTGCAAGATAAAACGTGGTGCATCGTAACAGAGGACGAAGCAGCCGAGAGAAATTAAGAGTTGTACAACGACGAACGAAACCGTCTTCGTTCGAAACGGAGGCGTGGAAAAGTTTGTGTTCACCGGTATCGCAAAAATATTTGCACGTGAATTCTTCGTACCGACCGAGAGAACGAACGGAAAGAAAGGCGGTCGATTCGATGCGAAATATGTCGGCTATTCTGCTTCTTCGAGAGACAATCCTCGTTCGATCGTTTCCAGACGCTCTTCCGGTTTGATGTTTCGGTCGCCCAGCACTGTTCCCGTATATCTCGAGACGAAAGAACGAATTCTACGCTTCCTCTCGTCCATGCTGAAATTGATATACTGCAATTCGAGGGGCTTCGGGTTCCCGACTCAGTCGTACTCGTGGGACGGCTCCGTTTTGTTGAACAGGCTGTCCCTCTCCTCTTGGGTGGAAGGAACATCCGAGGTCGTAGGCCTCAGAACTTTCGGAACTTTGCTAACCTTGCTGAGACCCTCGGTGATACCGCTACCCCCGGACACACTGGAAAAGAGACTGAGATCGTCACGTTAGAACTTGATAAGAGACCCTAACATCCACTGAAATAATCATTACGGCGGATAATGGAAAGTCGCGACCAAATTCATGATTAGACTACGAATCATTGTGTGTGTCTATGGCGGAAGAAGACATATTCGCCCGTGACAATTGATGGTATTTGTTTTTTTTTTTTAGAGAGAGAGAATCTAATTAATGATATAAGCTCAATAAGCGTTAGAAATGATTCAAATTTACCACCGCTAACGAACTCATGTCGCCTCTTGCGGCGAAATTTCGAAGCTCCGTTCAAGGATCCCTACAGTACCGATCCATGCAATGGTAAAACGCTCGAACTGCTAGCCAAACTCGGCTGTCGGTAATTTGTCGACTAGTTTCAGCGTTCTGCTGCTACGTGTATCATTGCTGCAGATAGATTCCATGGTTTATCAGAGTGCCATCTGTGGCAAAGAGTATCAAACTCGCAGGATTATTATCTGCAGATAAATTTGGCGAACACCTTTACTGACGTGTCATTTGCAGGTGGCGCAGCTTCTTGATGTTGCCACAAGAGACGCCACAATATCATCAGTGGCGGTAAACTTTAATTGACTTGGAAATGAATGAAAGAATTATTTTTAGAATATTGCGAAATTGTTTTCACTTTTACAAAAAAAAAGAGAGAGACTCTTTTCTAACAAAAGAAGGCTTTACCTCGTTCTGATCTATATAATAATCAACGAAAGAGAGAGAGGGATCTATATAATAATCGACGAAATCATCTGAAGTCAAATAATAACAATAACTAAATTGCGGATCTTTATATAAATCCTCGTTTCTAAAAAATACGAAAATTATTTTCGATACCCGGGAAGTTTCTTTCTATAAGTAATATAATAAATATATAATAATATATATAATATAAATATAGTATCTCACAAAAAATGCAGAATCACGATGAAAGTGAGAAGAAAGAACAGAATTGCAAGAGGAATACTCACACGACGTCCATCTCGTCATCTTCGTCAGCTTGGGTCGTGTCGTCGGTCGTTAAAGTAAAATATGGATTCGCGGAAGCTGGTCGGAACTTGTATCCGGTAAGGACAAAGAAGACATACGTGGCCATTTCTCGGAACATCTCGTCGAGCCACTCGTATTGGAAAGGTACCGTGATCTGCGTAAACGAAACACGTGCTGCGCTGAAAAGCCAGTCTCAAAGACAGAAACAAGGAGTAAGAACGCGACAGAAAGAAGGAGGATCGTACCTTCAGTAAGTACACTATGATTCGTGTGAAGTATATGTAACAAACTATCATGATATAAAAATGCCTAAAAAGCTTGAGCTTGCGTAAGTTTACTGCTGCCTTGCCGTCCGTGTGCGCGGCCTCCTGCAAGTGCCTGATGCTCCAGACCACTGGAAATAGGATAGCACCGCAGCACAGCAGATCCACAAGGATAAAAACGTCCCGCCATGTCTTGTGCTCGATGTCTCCCTCCTCGCTCTCCTCGATTATTATTTCTACTACGTTCGCTAATACCTGTCGGATCGGAGGAATTCGTTGCAGAGGCTTCCACTTTGTCTTTTCACGTCGAAAAGGATCGGGTCGACGCGCGAGTCCTGTCGCTTGTTTTTAAAATTCTGTTCTCGACGCGTATGGAAATCCGTCGCTTTCTAGGCGAATAGCTTTCTGCTTGAAACGCGAACGACAGGACCGTGCGTCAACCGTGAACATTGCGATGCTGACTTGTAACGGTATCACGATCATGAAAAGTTTCTTATCCTTGTCCGCTAGAATGTGTTTGATGAACGTCCAGCCGGTGCCGACGAGGACAATAGTAATGAAAAGTACGGCACCCTTCAGTAAATGCGTGATATAATAGAGAATCGCCCACGCAGCCACGTGTTCTCCTTTAGTCTTGATGAAGTGATAATTGATCCCGTGGAAGAGCAACGACAGAGATTTTAAGTACACCAGCACTGTCATCAAGTAGTGTATCTTGAATACGGGATGCCTGGATGAAAACGAACTCTTAAACATCGTAACCGAAGATATTTTCGGCCAGGGGACACGGACCGAAACGAGTCTCTTACTTGCTCCGTCTAAGTATGATCGCCCAGGCGCAACCAGACCAGAAGAATATGTTCGCCATCATGAAATAGAGCCCCGGCAACGGCATCTCGCCGGCGCTAAGATAATTATCCTCGTTCATCTCCGATATTTGTACCTGTAAATTGCATCCGTAGATCCCGGCTGTCTTACGACGCGGTCGCGAGCATCGATCTTACCGTGAAATCCAGCGCGACCTGCATCTCGTATTTGTAATTCGGGCAATTGTGAAAGTACAAATTATAGAGGCCCTCCTCTTCCTCGTCCCCGACGTACACGCTGAAACTGGTATTGTAATACTTCTCTCCCTTGACATTCTGCACGGTGATCGGAAGTGTAATGCCCGTGCATCCGCTGGTTTCCGGCCGCGACTGGAACTGATCCTGGTTTACGGATCTCTCGACACCTGCGAAAACAATCTCGTTTTATCAGTGTTCTCGTTGCCGCGAACAGGATTAGCAATACTCTAACTGACGCTCAGATTGTCCACAAAAATGAACAATTTGGGAGGAGGAGGCTCGTTCTTATATTGGGTTGGGGAATAAGTTCGTAGCGTTTTTATATTCTCTTTTATTTTACAACGACTTTTTGCTGTTTGACAAAGTGTATAATATTCATTCGATAGAGCTCTTTCTGCTCTACTAAACTGTGGTAATAGTCTTTTCGAGTAATTTAATTTTTTATTACTTTTGAGGCTTAGAAATGCAATATCCAGGAGGTAAAAAGCAACATTTTCGACAATTCTTCTCTTCTTCGCTTTTCTTCTTTTCTTCGCTAATCGTCTTTTTGAGCAATTTAATTTTTTATTACTGTTGAGGCTTAGAAATGGAATATCCAGGAGGTAAAATGCAACATTTTCGACAATTCTTCTCTTCTTCGCTTTTCTTCTTTTCTTCGCTAATCGTCTTTTTGAGCAATTTAATTTTTTATTACTGTTGAGGCTTAGAAATGGAATATCCAGGAGGTAAAATGCAACATTTTCGACAATTCTTCTCTTCTTCGCTTTTCTTCTTTTCTTCGCTAATCGTCTTTTTGAGCAATTTAATTTTTTATTACTGTTGAGGCTTAGAAATGGAATATCCAGGAGGTAAAATGCAACATTTTCGACAATTCTTCTCTTCTTCGCTTTTCTTCTTTTCTTCGCTAATCGTCTTTTTGAGCAATTTAATTTTTTATTACTGTTGAGGCTTAGAAATGGAATATCCAGGAGGTAAAATGCAACATTTTCGACAATTCTTCTCTTCTTCGCTTTTCTTCTTTTCTTCGCTAATCGTCTTTTTGAGCAATTTAATTTTTTATTACTGTTGAGGCTTAGAAATGGAATATCCAGGAGGTAAAATGCAACATTTTCGACAATTCTTCTCTTCTTCGCTTTTCTTCTTTTCTTCGCTAATCGTCTTTTTGAGCAATTTAATTTTTTATTACTGTTGAGGCTTAGAAATGGAATATCCAGGAGGTAAAATGCAACATTTTCGACAATTCTTCTCTTCTTCGCTTTTCTTCTTTTCTTCGCTAATCGTCTTTTTGAGCAATTTAATTTTTTATTACTGTTGAGGCTTAGAAATGGAATATCCAGGAGGTAAAATGCAACATTTTCGACAATTCTTCTCTTCTTCGCTTTTCTTCTTTTCTTCGCTAATCGTCTTTTTGAGTAATTTAATTTTTTATTACTGTTGAGGCTTAGAAATGGAATATCCAGGAGGTAACAAGCAACATTTTCGACAGCTTCTCTTCTTCGCTTTTCATCGAGGCCAAAAAGCTGCCGAAGCAACCCGGGACATCTGCAACGTATACGGAGAAGGTGTCATAGGCGAGTCTACAGCACGGAAATGGTTCACGAAGTTCAAAAATGGCGATTTTGACGTCGACGACACGCCTCGCAGCGGAAGACCTTCTGAATTCGACGAAGAGCGTCTCAAAGCACTTTTGAAGGAGGACGGTCACCAAACAAGTCGTGAATTGGCCGAAAAAATGAACTGCGATCATAAAACGATTCTCAATCATCTTCATTCAATGGGATTTGCCGAAAAATTGGGAGCCTGGGTGCCTCACGAGCTTAACGAAAACAACAAAGAAAATCGCCTTCAAATTGCTTCTCAACATCTCGCCCGCCACCGAGCAACATGCGGTCATAAACAGCGCTTTTTGTACCGAATCGTCACGGAAGATGAGAAATGGTGCCTATAGACGTGCTGTAGACTCGCCTATGACACCTTCTCCGTATACGTTGCAAATGTCCCGGATTGCTTCAGCAGCTTTTTGGCCTCGATGAAAAGCGAAGAAGTGAAGGTGTCGAAAATGTTGCTTTTCACCTCCTGGATATTCCACTTCTAAGCCTCAAAAGTAATAAAAAATTAAATTACTCAAAAAGACGATTTGCACAGTTTTGTAGAGCAGAAAGAGCTCTATCGAATGAATATTATACACTTTGTCGAAAATGTTGCTTTTCACCTCCTGGATATTCCATTTCTAAGCCTCAAAAGTAATAAAAAATTAAATTACTCAAAAAGACGATTAGCACAGTTTTGTAGAGCACAATGAGCCCTATCGAACGAATATTATACACTTCGTCAAACGGCAAAAGATCGTTGTAAAATAAAAGAGAATATAAAAACGCTACGAACTTATTCCCCAACCCGATAGTCGTTGACAATTCGTAACTATGAAAATGAACCGCAATGATCGAATAATCGTATCTTCTCTACCTAAATTGTCTATTATTGTAGACAATCTGAGCGTTAATTAGAGACTTTACTACTGTACTTCACGAAGGTGAGGGTTTCATCTCGTTGATACGGTAGACCGTCAAGGTCTACCGTGCGAATCTCGGATACAATCGATCAGATTCCGACGAGAGGAACGATCGTTAACATAAAATACAGTACTGTAGAAGACAGTTACCTAACCGGACCCTCAAAAATACTTGAGTTTCGAGTTATTTATAAGATTGAGGACGAGTTACGTTAATTATAGCGTCTCTCATCTCAGCGGTGTTCGATCACCGATGTCGCTTCGAGACCCAACATTCCGTGAGATATCGACCACATTCGCATTTAGTTGGTCGAGCCGGGCGATGGCGGCACTCGGTGAACGGTCTCTCTCTCTCTCTCTCTCTCTCTCTCTCGACGTTCCGATAAACATGCATTTAATTTTGGACATCGAAAGGCTCTAACGGCGATCGAAGATACACGCCGTTTATTCCGCGATACTCGCCGCGGGCAAAAAAGGATATCTTATCAGAAACTATGAAAATACATATATCGCACTTCTGGAGATAGTTCTCCGAAAGTAAATTCCAATGAAATCTGCGGCGCAACGAGCTGGCGCGACGCCTCTTCCTGTATCGACGCTGATCGATCAATTACGCGCATTAAGCGTTGCACGATCGACGCAAGAAGCGAGCCGCCGCCGCCGCCGCACCGAAACGAAAACGACTCGCCGATCGCAATATCAATTTAATCCCGAACGACGAGCGTATCAAGGTTGCCCGATTAAACGTGCCTGCGCTCGAATCAATCGAGAACGATAAAACACTGTGCGTTGCCGAACGGCCGACGGTTCTCTCGTCGATCGCGACGCGGCGAATTTTCACCGAGGATGAGGCATTGCACAGGTACACCCTAAGGTCGTGATCGATGCAACTCGTGCCAAGATTTCATTGTCCACCTGTTAGCCTATGTCACGACCGAGTCGACTAATATTAGCATCCCGCTACGATTAAAATAACTCGCGGATGTAGCGACATTTATATTTAATATGCCGTGTCCGAATAATCCGTGACGCCGCACGCCACGTTTCTCGAATTCCGACGGTTCCGACCGCGGAATTGCGAGAGAAGTTCGGGAAGCGATCGAAACTCGATGATTAAGAAACGCGTGCGGACTTTAATCCGGAGTTGACCGGAATCGAGCGGTCCGATACCAGGGACGGAACGATTCGAACGAATGTTTAATCGCGCCGATAAACCGGCGGGACCCGCCGGCGCGACTCGCAATTAATAAATAATCGATGGTCGAAATTGCGGAAGTTGGAACGCGCTGCGAAGAAATGCTTCGCCCATTCCACGCGGTCTACCGTTAGCTTCCTGTCTTTGGACGGCTGCCAAATTGAAAAGCGCGCTACGCCCGCGCCTCGTAAACCCTCGCCCCGTCGGCCGGTATCGTTCATCTTTCAGGATGACGCGGTTTCTGCGATTAAGCAAGTACGAATCTCGGGGGAATCTCCCCGAGTTTATTCTCGAGTGCCGAGAGACCTCTCTGACAAACTTAGAAACAATTTCCTTCGGAAACGGGAAACCTTGAGAAGAAATAAATATGAATACCGGATCGCGAGAGCCTCGAACGTTTAAATGAAGAACCGGTATCGACGTTATGATAGAACCGGCCTGTCAGCAATAACGCTTTGCACAACGGGCGTCATTCATACGTTTTTAGTAGAATTAATTAGATTAGATTATCCTAGATGACTTGCCGGTTTATAAAGAAAACAGCTACTATTATCGGAGTGGTTGTTAAGAAGCGATCATTTATCTTTGGTTTTTGGAGGACTATCGGCGTGAGCGCTGGTTAACCTTTTAGGTACGGCTGAATACTGCGCGAGGCTATTTCTCTGGACGGCAGACTCTGATACTGTCTCTTATACACATCTAGATGTGTATAAGAGACAGTATCAGAGTCTGCCGTCCAGAGAAATAGCCGCGCGCAGAATTCAGCCGTACCTAAAAGGCTGTCTCTTATACACATCTAGATGTGTATAAGAGACAGTATCAGAGTCTGCCGTCCAGAGAAATAGCCGCGCGCAGAATTCAGCCGTACCTAAAAGGCTGTCTCTTATACACATCTAGATGTGTATAAGAGACAGCCTTTTAGGTACGGCTGAATACTGCGCGAGGCTATTTCTCTGGACGGCAGACTCTGATATGTACTGTACAGAGTGTCTGTGTATTCTCTGTCTGTATATTGTTCAGATACAGTTATATTATTAACAGTTATATTGTTAACAGTTATATTGTTAACAGCTATATTGTTAACAGTTATATCGTTAACAGTTATATTGTTAACAGCTATATTGTTAACAGCTATATTGTTAACAGCTATATAGTTAACAGCTATATTGTTAACAGCTATATTGTTAACAGTTATATTGTTAACAGTTATATTGTCAAGATAAGTCTGTATATTGTAAATCGATGTGAAGACAAAAGAAGTGTGAAACAATGCATATGAAGACGATTATTTGATTCAAACGATGACCGAGTGAGCTACTAGAGTTACTATAGTGGCTACTATAGTATAGTAGTATATACTACTATAGTATAGTAGTACATAGTGTATAGTATATAGTATAGTATAGTGTATAGTATAGTAGTAGCTACTATAGTGGTGCGTCGTTCAGAGAGATGACATCCGCGAAAGCCACTATAGTGGCGCGTCGTTCAGAGAGATGACATCCGCGGAAGCCACTATAGCGGCGCGTCGTTCCTAAAAGGTTAACGCGTTGATGATCGGAACGCGAGTGTCCTTTGACCTCGAGGTCGCGGCCAGGTGCAATTTCACGAAAAAGCCTCGCTCGACTATTGATTCTACGCGGATGTTTGTTGTTGCGAGGGAACAGATGGAGGCGATTCAGACGATACTGACTCACCGTGCGAGCTATACCGTTTCCTCCGCGCGAAGAGAACGGTATCGCTGAACCCGGTCGACAGAGAATCTCGCTTTTTCCGCAGCGCTACCACCATGTTGCGATCCTGATGAATCTCCACGGTGTGGATGTTCTGGTTACAGTTGACTATCAACCTGAAAACGGGTTCGCATCGTACAATCGGTTTCTCTCCACCTTGACGGATACAGAAAACAAAAGCGGTGGAATCCCGGCCTAGGAGATTCTATAATCGTGACTTGCGTGAACGCTTACAGAGGTGTTTTCAAGTCCATCGTGAAATATATGACAGCGCTGCTGTCGTCCCTCTGCTCGAGATCGGTCTTCGCGTTTGCGGCGTCCTGTAGCACGCATCTCTCTTGATGGCTATCTAAATACGGATTCATCGCGTCGCTTAGCGTACGATCCAAACTGAACCCAAACTGCACCGTCGAAAAAAAAAACATACATAGCACACACGTTACACAAGGAGAGACAGATTTTTTTCGGCGATTCCTAACACGTCCCGCGCCGCGCCAATTCCGGGCGATTCGAGACCTTATAGAACCCACGGGTCACCCGTGACCCGTGCGGAACGGAACGTGTTAGTCGATTCTATTCTAAACAAATCATAATGTCCAACATTTGTGAAATTTTTTCGAAACGTTAACTTGTACAAAATTGCTCAATTCTGAGGAAAAGTAGAAACTATGCACCGGCATGTTTTCGGTAACGTTAAAACATGCTCGAACAATATTTAAAGGGAACAGGAACAAGTTACAAATTGTTGAACAACGTACCATATGTTTAGAAATTGACATCGTACGGACAAAAGTTTGATTATACTTTAACGGGTCATTTCCGACCCGAACGCAGTACAAGAATTGTATTGGGATCATCGCCGCTAAAACGCCGTTCGAATCGCTTCCATTTCTCAAATAAATTTCATTCAAATTTCGTTCAATTTTTTAAAGGGTGATCGATTGATATATTTCAATAGCTAAAAATTGTTTGGAAATAAAAGGAAGCAAACGATTTGCGCGATTCTCGACTGCGATACTCCATAGATTTGTCGCAATCGCAAAATTTGCGAACAAGAAACGTTTGCGCAGAAAAATAACAAAATAATCAATCGAATCGAATTTTGCAGGAAGTTGCGCAAGTCTATACTTTACCTGGTTCGATTTCTGTCTATTGCGCTTTGCTTTTCGTTTCGTTGTTTGATAAACGAACGAAAACGAAACGATGTTTAAATGTTGTTATTAGAAAGTATGAAGAGGGGTTATATCTTTCAACGGTGTTTTCGAGTTGCTTCCCAGCGGCGATTTAGCGGCGTGAATGAGAGAAAATGGAAACAGGTGTCCGTGAATGGACGGGGCGACGCGTAGTATTGCGCGATCGTCCACGCTACGGTAAACTCACCACGGCATTCTCGTCGAGGGGCTGAGCCTTGAAATTCGTCAGATTCACATCGAGAATGCCGCTCTTGTAAAAGCCGAAGGTGCTAAGGGCTATGTAACGTCTTGTATCTTTCTGGAACATGAAAAAGGCATGGCAGTCGTGAGAACGAGAACGTCGAGATACCCGTGTCCTACGTCTGAGCGACCAGGAAAGAAAACTCGAGGCACGGATTAACTATAACCTATACGTCACTTGTTCGTCCGCCTATCGAACTCCTCGGCGGAAGCTTCTTTCGTGATTCACAATGCTTCTAATATCGTTTCGGGAAACGTGGTTGACGCATACCGAACATCAATACGGTGTTACGTTAACGCACACTTTCGGAATATTAATTTGCAACATTTTTAAAGACCAGAACCGTACGGAGAGCAACGCGAACGGTTCAGACGGTCCGATCGATGCTATTGTTCGTATCGGTTCTCGACCAGCCGGTAAAAGGTGACCGATGCGACGACAGGAATCACAGCGAAATAACTAATAAATATAGGAGAGCGTTGTTTCCTCAGATTACTCAACTAACCCGTATCTCGAGTTTGTGTATCCTAGCGGCGGCCAGTACGAGCATCAACATGATCCAAAAGCATCGTATCGGTAGTTGTTTCGATTGCATTTTTGATAAATTTTTTATTGGAGAAATGTCACATCACGAAAACACAAAATAACCACACATCGAAAACGTTCAATGTTCACTCGTCGATACACGAGCAGAAACTGAGCTTCGACCACGGCGCGGGGAACACCAGAACCGAAACTTCAATGATTTTCATCGTGATCGTGGCCTTCGAACTCTGCACGTACGTTGCGCATGCGCGCACAAGTTGTGTACGGTGAATTTATTTGAAAAAAAAAAAACCGGGTTTCAAATTCTTCGAGAACATTTTAGAACATCAAAGAGTAATTGCGAAACACCTTTGAATTCTGCGCGCGCATTCGGTACTCCTGTGATACGAGCCGTTTATTTTGAAATAAGTGGCATAAGTCACTTTACCGTAATGAAAAGTGGTGATTTTTTAAAATTAATTATATATATATTATTATATTATTATTATTATATTATATTATATTATTATTATATTATTATTATATTATATATATTTTTTAAAATTATTTATACTGAGAAAAATATCAGTATCCTGAGGTAACAAATACAAGTAAATCTTCTCGAAAGTTAGCATCCATATTTTTAAACGTGTTAAAACGCAATATATCGATTTGGAAACAAAGTGACTTATGTCATTTTCAAAAAAAATAAACGGCTCGTATAATAAATAATTTTCTATCGTATAACATTTCAAACATTACCGCGCATTTTTTCTTTTCTCATCGAATAGCCCAACGAAATAGATAGGGAACAGGCGACATATGTAGTACGTTACAGGATTTCAAAGTAATCCAATTTGGGAACATGAATATTGAAGGTTCCAACAGAACTGTGGCATCCAGAATATTTTGTGACCGTGGAAGCTCTGTCCGCGACTATCGGTACGAACTGAACTGCGCGCGATTTTTAAAAAAGTCCTAGCCGTTACACATTTGAATTTCTTTTATCAGGAAAATTCATCGGCTAAAGAATATTCTGATAGAAGATTTGTTTAATATTATATTATATTATATAATAATATAATATATAATAAATAAACGTTTTCTATAATATAATATAATATATTATTATTATTATATTATTATATAATTATTTATAATATAATATTATTATTATATAATATCTCTTATTAATCTCTTTTATCAGGAAAAATATTATTATATAATATAATATAATATTAAACAAATCTTCTATCAGAATATTCTTTAGCCGATGAATTTTCCTGATAAAAGAAATTCAAATGTGTAACGGCTAGGACTTTTTTAAAAATCGCGCGCAGTTCAGTTCGTACCGATAGTCGCGGACAGAGCTTCCACGGTCACAAAATATTCTGGATGCCACAGTTCTGTTGGAACCTTCAATATTCATGTTCCCAAATTGGATTACTTTGAAATCCTGTAACGTACTACATATGTCGCCTGTTCCCTATCTATTTCGTTGGGCTATTCGATGAGAAAAGAAAAAATGCGCGGTAATGTTTGAAATGTTATACGATAGAAAATTATTTATTATACGAGCCGTTTATTTTTTTTGAAAATGACATAAGTCACTTTGTTTCCAAATCGATATATTGCGTTTTAACACGTTTAAAAATATGGATGCTAACTTTCGAGAAGATTTACTTGTATTTGTTACCTCAGGATACTGATATTTTTCTCAGTATAAATAATTTTAAAAAATATATATAATATAATAATAATATAATAATAATATAATATAATATAATAATAATAATATAATAATATATATATAATTAATTTTAAAAAATCACCACTTTTCATTACGGTAAAGTGACTTATGCCACTTATTTCAAAATAAACGGCTCGTATCACAGGAGTACCGAATGCGCGCGCAGAATTCAAAGGTGTTTCGCAATTACTCTTTGATGTTCTAAAATGTTCTCGAAGAATTTGAAACCCGGTTTTTTTTTTTTCAAATAAATTCACCGTACACAACTTGTGCGCGCATGCGCAACGTACGTGCAGAGTTCGAAGGCCACGATCACGATGAAAATCATTGAAGTTTCGGTTCTGGTGTTCCCCGCGCCGTGGTCGAAGCTCAGTTTCTGCTCGTGTATCGACGAGTGAACATTGAACGTTTTCGATGTGTGGTTATTTTGTGTTTTCGTGATGTGACATTTCTCCAATAAAAAATTTATCAAAAATGCAANATATTCTTTAGCCGATGAATTTTCCTGATAAAAGAAATTAATAAGAGATATTATATAATAATAATAATAATATAATATAATAATATATTATATTATATTATAGAAAACGTTTATTTATTATTACAAACAAAACACAACTGATTCTTGTAACCTCCGCCATAAGATACAATGTAAAACACGGCACGAATCATCTGTTCCTTAGAATATAAAGACAGCGCTATTACACGTAGTGGCAAAACACTGAAGCTAATAGCCAAATTACCAAGAACAGATATCGGCTAACAGTTTCAGTGTTTCACCATTGGACTATTTGGCGCTGTACGTACTTTCGAACGGAGATTCGGGATTTCGCCACAAGAGGAGCCTACCATCACCAGTCATTTACACAGTCAGTATCATTTTACTAGAACTCTGAGCATTCTACATCTACATACGTGGATTGCCGCTGTCCGGACACGTTTACGGAACATATAATTCTTGCCGAAATCTGCATTATGTCTTATGACAGAAGTGGCAAGAATTATCCGTATCGGTATAACAAATAATAATATTAATAATGTAAAAATTTGTAGAACATCGTCTTTTCAAAGAAGTGGACAGAGTACCTCCAGATCCGAGGTCCAGACACGAATCACGATTTTATTTGCATTATCCCGGGAACCCTTTGAATTCGTTACGTATCTCCCGCGCATGAGGCCGCACGATTCTCCTACCCGGAATCCGTTCATCGATTGGTTTTTTGCGTCGGACGTCAGACCGTGTTACGTATCCCCGCAGCTCACGTTATGCTCGAGTTTTCGGCTCGTTGACGGCTGTCATTCGCGGAAGGTCGATCGGACCGTGACCCCTGAGGTTTCTTTATCGGGATATCTCGGACAGCAAGAAGCTCGACGGTCGTGCAATTATTGATACACGTAATTTGCATACCACGAATCGGTCCGGGCCAGTGTTCGATGTATAGTGCCTTGAAAATCCATGATGGCGGACGTTGAAAGATCGCGCTAGTGCATGCCGCGAAATTTTGCGAGTTTCACGTTCAGATTTCCGTCTGAACACACGTCGAGGCATCCGTACGCCTCGTAACCGTAATCTTAATTATCGGTAGATTTTTCTCGCGCGGCATTCTCGTTTGAGCATTTTTTATGGTGGCCGTGATCATGCAAGCACAGCAGCAGCCGCAGCAACAACAGCAGCAAAACCATCAACAGATTGCTGGCACCAGCGTCATTCTTAAAATGAACGAGATACAACAGCTCTCGACAGTTGGTACGTAGTCCATCTCGATGATCTTGACGAATTACCGCGACAATGGAACTTTCGATATTCCGTTGATGAAGTTCAAATTGACGGTTACAGGCCTATGGGAATTTCTTTTACTTTCTGCACGCATGATTGATAAGCATACAATTAAATATCGGTATGGTATTTCTATAGCTTTTGTAGTTTATGTACGTACGCAGTCCATCAAATTCATAGAACTTTGGTCATGTTTAACATTGAACTGTATTGTTTAGTTTTTACGAAACCTTCGGAAGAAACTGAACATGAAATTCGAGACAGATGTGTCGCGAATTTATAAATAAAAATCAGGGCACAGAACAGTAGTAATGCAATAGAATTCTACATATTTCAAGCATGAAAATTGTCTCGTCATTTTTGCTGTACTCTCTATTATTTATTACGTAACTGAAATTGTTGCTGTAGTTCTAAAATCATAGCACTTATTGGCGATCTAACGAAATTCAAAGTCAGGAAATGATTAAATTTTTGGAGCAAAATGGCATATTCGAATTTGATCGCTAAAATTGTTGTGGCATAGTATCGTGTTTTGTGCATACATTTTTATATATATATCCATCGTAAATTTTATTTTCGTAAATAGGAAGTTCTTGATTTATTGTAGGGTATAATTTTCTTCCATACCTGTACCGTGTCGTACCGTAAAGGTACTGGTACTTTTCGTACCTGTTTTCCCTCGAGTACTGTTTGACGGTCAACGTCTTTGATTCGTGCATCCGAAGCGGAATTTCTACTATTGAAACAACTACATTTGAAAGGTAGCAGTTAACAATAGGGCCTGGATAGACCCACGCATTGATAGGCGAGGGTTAAGCTACCTTCTTTTGACCGTCGCTCCCCAATTCGCCGTCCCCCTCTCCGTCGAAGTGACGGTGGAATATTCCACTCCGTATACCTATTCCATCTGCTTTCCGCGCCAGAGTGGGGAACAGTCGTCCCTTCGTAAACCTCAGTGGTTCCCAATTTACATATTTCTTTTTCAATTTCACGAATCAAAACATTTGGTTATTTACATACCATACTACCATATACTTTTCCTCCTAATGGTTACTTTATGATATCTTGAAAACAATCTCTAATTAGGAGTCAATGATTTAAGTTATAATAGTAACATGTCAATTCATTTGCAATAACATGGTTTGATTTTTTCTTTTGAAATTATTATTCCAAGAAAAATTATATATATATATATATATATTAAGCTGCTTTTTCGTAAAATACACGCATTGAGAACATTATGTGTCATTGAATCATTGAAAGAGCAATTGTCATCTATGGTAGGCACAATAAAAACAAATCCAAGGTTATTTTTTTAGTCAATGGTAGTATATTACACGATAACACTATCTCGATATTTGAGTACATTTTAAAATTGTTTGAGAATCACTAATTTGGTTTCTCCGCTGCGTTCCCAGTTCCGTGCAATGAATTACGTGTACCTCGGGTTACGCTGAATTTTCTCGCATTTGTTCTTTGATTTTATGCAAGGCGATTTTACATTATGCTTGGCATTATTATTTCATAATAATCTATACCAAAAAGTGTCGGAGACACGAATTGTATAACTTCTAAGAGAATTTAAAAACATTCTTACCTGACCGCGTCAGAATCGTTCATCCGTAACATCTTTTGCTATGGACACCATACCGACGGCGAGACGCCCCATTTACATTAATAAATATATTAATAAATATATATATATACATACAATATATACAAATATATACAAAATTAATAAAAAAAATTAATAAATATATATATATATATACAAAATATATATTTAATTACATAATATTGATTGTGTCCTTCGAAAATTCCAAAATGAATATGCATCATTTTAGGATACATATATTTCCTTCGAGAAGTTTATATATAAACGGTTTGCATTAGTGCCCGCCAAATGTTAGGGGCGCCAGATCCGGTGTCTACGCTCCTGAGCCGGGTGTCTTCTTCTGTTCCCTCTTCCGTCTTCACCGCAACGACGCAGGAGTCCGCCATAGTAGCGAAACGGACGAATCAGCGAGCCGCTGGCTCTGGCAGGGATAACCTGGTCGTAGCGTAACTTGTACAGAAGCTCGGCACTGTATACAGAAGCTAGGAGTACATAAGTATAATGTTGAAAGAAGCGTGACAGTGAAGACAAGTATACTGCTCATGTTGGAAAAGTGGTGTTAAAGCCAACAACTTTCTAAAATCTCGGTGCTGGGCAACTGCTGCACCGAAGAATCCACTGGAAAATTCAGTGTGTCGTTTCGGAGTTTCTTGAAATCGGTCGAACCTGGTTGCAACTGCGTTGGGATTGCGTGCGGTTGTGTGCACGCATGCCAAAGCTACCGAGAAGGCCAGAGCAACGAACCGAGAGAGGAACACGCGAGTAAAATGAGTCTCAGACTGTCGGAGAAGAAGGAGACCGTTCTGAGGAACACGAACGGGATCATCGCCAACGTTGTGAACAATTCTGAAGATATTTCGAGTGGGGCCGGCGAGTGGCAAAACGGACAAAATCTTCTGGTCGTTACGCAGGACACTCAGGGCAAGGAGCTGATCGCGATCGCCGACAATCAGACCATAAACGTCGCCGTTGATTCCTACTGTTCGTATTCATTCAAGCATATGGCTTCGTATACTAAGAAAATAAAGTATTCATACACCGGTTAATTTACCTGCCGACCACCATTTTCGTACTATCCACGTACTTTACGTGCTAAAAATTCGAGACAAAAAAAGAAACGATGTATGAATACTTTTTCCTTCTATTGTACTTTCCCCGTCCCGTTCCGCGTTTTCCATCGCCGGTAAACTTAATCCTCGGACATGCGTGTTGCGGCCCCCAAACGTTTTCGTAACGTGTATACTGTTATTATCGCTGAAATTGCGTAGAATTTAGAATAGGAAAAAGTAGATAAAGAATCTTAGGACGAGAGAAGTAGAAAAACAAAGCTTGTCAAACATGCGGATGGGTCAAAAAGGCGGCCCAGTGTCGGTCGACGGAGAGAGTTAAATGGAAATCGATTGTCAGAGACGCGCTTACATGATTTTTCTAGGGATTTTTTAGCCGAGATTTCGTTAATTGGGAACACTGAAGCTGAGTGTAATATGAAATACGCCGGTGTATGAATACTTTTTCTTCTCTTTGTATATGTTATGTCGAATGTTTTAAGGATTTCCATGATGTAAAAATGGTTCAAACTCTGTTTCCAGGGCTGTTGGAGCTCGCTCATAGGGAATATCAAGCAGGCGACTATGAAAACGCTGAAAGACACTGTATGCAGCTTTGGCGGCAGGAAACAAACAACACAGGAGTTCTTTTGTTGCTGTCATCGATTCATTTCCAGTGTAGGAGGCTGGAAAAGTAAATATTTTTTTTTACTCGAAAAATTATTATTTTTTTTTTCGTTTTGTCTTTTTTACGATGAATTTCCTTGGAATTTTTCAGGTCAGCTCACTACAGTAGCTTAGCGATAAAGCAAAATCCCTTACTGGCGGAGGCATACAGCAATCTCGGAAACGTTTTTAAGGAACGTGGTCAACTGCAGGAGGCATTGGAAAACTATCGACATGCGGTACGATTGAAACCGGACTTTATCGATGGTTACATTAACTTGGCAGCTGCATTGGTGGCTGCGGGAGACATGGAACAAGCTGTTCAAGCTTATGTGACTGCTCTACAATACAATCCCGTGAGTAACTCATAATATCGTTAGCGTAGAATTTTCACAGTGATCGACCAAGAGAGTGTAGCTTAATAATCGTTACTAGATAATCAAACATACTTATTATCATTTAGAAGAAAATTGTTAAGTTTTGTCTGGAATTTTCAATGTTTCTTGAGCGATTCTTTTTATTATAATTCTTATGAGATTGTATAACGTATCTACCTGTGTTCCAGGATCTCTACTGCGTGAGGAGCGATCTTGGTAATCTTTTGAAAGCATTAGCAAGACTTGACGAAGCGAAGGTAGGTTTGTTTCTCGATTGGCAATAGATATACATTAATTTGACGTGTGATGCGCATACTCGGATGCATCGGTGCCGGCGCAGTTGAATACTCGGGATGCTCGCCGACGGGTCAACCTCCGCTTCTACAACACCAGGCACCGATGCATTTCCGTATTATGTGCACGAGCGCTAGTATGCAGCTCCGCGGAGTGGCCAGGAATCGATCAGATTAAATCCGCATCATTCTTGCGGAGTGTCTTTCTCGTCGCGGCTAAAATCAGCGCGCGGCGCGCGATGCTGCGTTATCGAATCATAATCTACCTTGGAGAGCTTCGATAGCGCACTGTGCATCGCGCGCGGTCTTCCCACTTTACTGATCAACAATGCCGCGTTTGAGACCGCCTGATCTGTTCTCTCGATCGTGGATCAGCGGGATGAGACGGTATCGAACGCGGCGCAATGAGGGTCCTGATTGAGAATCGGGGCTGGAAACAGTTCGAAACCCTTACTTGGCACTGCGCAAAGCGTCTTGCAATAACACCCCAATGGAAATGGACTCAACGTCCCGACGGTGTTATTGCAAATCCTGTCTACAAAACTGCCGGTCCTATTACAGCATGATGCGTGTGTCGGTATCTTTTTTTTTCTCTCTTTCTCTCTGCCCCGAATCAGATTCTAGATGCATAATGCTTTTTTTTCGTTCGCATTTTTGTTGAAAACAACGAGGCAAGCTAGAATAGGGCCCGCAGGCGCGCGACCGTAACTGTTAAGCTCATCTCTCATTTGATTCAGCTCATTCTGAATGTGTTCTGCCTCTCTAGGTATACCGTTCCGTAACATATACGTGGACACAAATGCGACCTTTTCTTTCCAACAACTCTTTCCAACTTTTGAGAGTATACCGAGTCTTTGTATGTACGGTGATCTATATATATATATATATATATGTATATATATATATATATGATAAATTGCGCGAGATCACTTGACGAATTATACGTTCTTCGCTTATCGTCAGATAATATATTAACGAAAAGAAACTGATAATCATTTTGCCTGTCTGGGATTGAAACTCACGGGATACACTCTTGTGTCCCAAGAGTTTCCCTGACATTGTTTGATTGAAAGGATCTGGATGAAAAGATCTATCGGTGGTAGATCAATAAGCGTCAAGTGGTCTGCTTCTCACAGTGCAGCGCGGCGCGGCGACTGCCTACGAGCTTCTTGTCTGAGGACAGCGCGCTTTGACATTCGCAATATCAACTCGTACGCTTCGTAATTATTCCTTGAATCTTCTGTTTCGCTCGTTTGATCATAAGTGCTGTCCACAGGGAAGCTCGTCGGCGAATACGAAACGCAATGCGACGAGAAAGGCCTTCCGCTGAATTTCCTGCCAGTCTTGAGCGCTGTCTAGTCCGCTCGTTCGTTTGTTCGCTCTGCACGTTCCGCCACCAAACAATCACAAACAAAATCCGGAAATGGGCAGATCTATCATTTAAATAAAACGTGGTTCTTCGAGCTTGTGTTAGCCAAGCAATTTGTTTCTAAACAAAGAATTGAGATACAGCTACAGTCGGGGACAAAAAGATAGCAAGTTATATAAATTTTGAAATAGCCACATTCATGCATTCCCAATGGAAAAATTAGAGCGTTTATATTTGATCACGGAAATCACATTGACAGTGATTTATCCTATATTTTTGTCCCGAACTATAATGTAGTAGCTTGTTTAAAGATAAAGCTTTTCAGTGCGTGTTATTTAAATAAAATCAGTGCCCATCTCCGTGTAAAGAGAGATCTAGAGTTTTGAAATGTCGAATCGAGAAAGGGGAAACACGGTCTTGAAAACTAATTGGCTGACAGTATTGATCCAACGGGGGCAAAAAGAAAATTCGCTTCACCGGTTTAGAAAGTCTCAATGATGTTTTATACTATTATGATCCGATACATGGTGGCTGACGATCTCAGCGAAGCGTGCCCCACATAACTCGGGCACGCACGACTTAGGTACCTCTGTGAAAGTCAAAAAATATAAACAAGAAAAAAAAAGACAAAGTTGAGGCGAAGAGTATCAGTGAAGAGACATTAACGCAGCTGTCTTATTGTTGTGGATGGGATGATCAACTCTAGGAGGGGAAGTCGGAGCAATGTGATTGGTCTCGGTTACCATGGGTTCCTTCGTCAAACGGTGAATCTGAATGTGGTTATTCAGTAACACACTGTCTCTCGGTCTAAGTTTATTATGAGAGCTTGCGAGCCGTACCTACCGTCAACCTACCGAAGGGTACTCTGCAGGTAAAGTAATTCCCGTAGGCCGGTCTCTGAACTATTCCGTCAGACACATTGATGTTGTTCCGATGTTTCCGTGAAAGAAACTTCAAAGTTGGATCTCCCTTTGATCCACCGAGGTTTCAGACTTTTTTCTTTGCTTTTCCAGTCTCTGTGGCTCCACTGACGAGTTCGATAGGGGTGACGAACTTCTTCCTTTTTGGTTCTTCGATAGCAACATGCAACATCACATGTTAAATAACTCGTTGCTTCGCGTTGAACTCCTCGTCTTGTAATATCCAGTCAGGCTTGTCTGAAAAAGTTGAGTCTGATAAGTAAAAATGTTATTCGTTTCATTGAGATCAGAATGAATTCCTATTAGTTTGCTAATGGTAGTTATTCGTTAATTAGATTAGATGTAGGTGTACGGTAAAATAAAGAAGTTCCAATCAGCGTTGCTGTGAAGTAAATCATAAGGTAATGACAGTCTGTAGAAATACAGAGTCAAATCTTACACGCTATAATCTTCAAAATTCAAAGTGAGCTTCATCGTAACAGATCAAAATAACAAAAATTAGTACAGAATGACCTACCCACTATTTGCGATAAATGAGATATACAGAATGATAGTTTGATTTATAGGGTTTAGTAGAAATGTCGCCACTGGCTCGTCACCCCTATAACGTGGAATCAATGGGGAGGATCCAGAAGTAATCTCGGCTTGGAACTCTGAAACGGTGTCTAAAGCTCATCCAACTTTGTTTCCGTCCAGTTTCTCCTGGTTGTTCCATGACACAAATCAACCGAACCCTCCTACCATGTTCCTTAAGAGATCGGCCGACTGTAAATGCCCTTTTACTTATTGTTTAGGTACGGATTACTCTGTTTTACATGATGCAGCCCGCCTCTCGGCACGCGCGATGCACATCCCTGCTTGACCCCTTAGGAGCGTCGTCACGTAAAATGGAAATTCGAAAAACGTATTTTATCATTCTTTCCAATTGTACTAGAAATGAGAACATCTCGACGATCTGTATTTTTTCTCTGCACATGTATGTGTATATTTGTGTTAGCTAACGGGAGCACGGGTGATGACAATGTGATAATGATATGATGTACACGTACATTCACGCACGCATGTTTGTTCAAGCTCTCATCGGCAAGAACGGAGAATCCTCGACGGGGATGAATTGGCCGAGTGACAGTGATGACGATGATAAGAATGACGATGTGGCGAACGACGTGTCACGTGCCGTCGAATCCACCGGACGCATTCCGGAGAGTCGATGGACACGGGACAAGACGCTCGAATCGCTCAAGTTTCCACGATGACGTTTCTAGCGCGCACCTTGTTACCCTTCTATCCCGATCTCGCATCAGATCCTATCCCCCATTTACACGACTCGCAGAATGGGCTTCGTTTTCTCTGTCTTCGTTCCGGTCCAGCCTCCCTCTTCGCCCATCTTAAATATCTACGAATGACACCTTGAAAACTGTACAACGCAGTGGGCTTCGTTTCGAGTCTACTCTAATTATCCTCCATCGTTGGAACGACATATTCGCAAGCTTTTTACCCTAACTAAGTGTAACAAGTTGGTTTTTATACAATCTTCACAGTTGATAATTCTTTGAGGAACAGCAAGCATGTGGCGACGAGAATCTCACGCAAACAGAATTTATTAACCGTTCGAAGTACCAATTTCCGCGCGTCTCAAAGAACTATCTGCAGTGCAAATTTCATAGAAATCGCGTGTCACACTTAAAATTGTCCGATCAACGAAGGTATTCGATTAGAGTATGTCAGGATGACTCGCCGAAATCGCTGCGTAAAAAAAAACATGCTTACTTTGTGCACCTGTTTGCGGGAAGCAGGGGCGACGGGGGATGATAGAGGTAGATCAAAGAACGGAGACAGACAGGGCGAAGGTGAGAATAGATGTGTTTTGTTCTCTGAGGTTTTCGAGGATGGTGAAGTGTGTGAAAGCTGCGGCGCGGCGAGGAGAGGTCGGGCAATACGCGCGGCGCGTCCCTGACAGTACGCGAGTCGGAATTCTCTAATACGATCTTTGTCTGTAGGCATGCTATCTAAAGGCGATCGAAACGCGCCCGGACTTCGCGGTCGCCTGGAGCAATCTTGGCTGCGTGTTCAACGCTCAGGGAGAGATCTGGTTGGCGATTCACCACTTCGAGAAGGCAGTTGCGCTCGATCCGAACTTCTTGGACGCGTACATCAACCTTGGCAACGTACTGAAAGAGGCCAGGATCTTTGACAGGTAAGAGGGGCGGCCTTTTCCCGACGAAACCTGTTCAAGACCGATGCTCGGATCTGTCGTTTGGCTTTGTTCCCGGTGTTTTCTGAACGTTCATATGGCAATTATCGAGCCACTATTTGCTCTATTCTGCTTAAACTGCAGGTAGACTTGGAAAGAAGATGCCTAATGTTTGAACATTGACGAACGACCGAGATGAGCATTCGATGCTTTTGCAAATTGTAGAGTAAAATAGTTTTGAAGCTATGTTATAAAGTAGATCGTTCAATTGATATGCAGCAGATGAAATGGTAGCTCGATGGGAGAGGCGTGAGCCTACCAAGCGGTGGACCCTGGTTCGATTCTCGGTCCCAGCATACTTTAATTAGTTATCTTTTTCTTACTAAATTCTGATCTAGATGCACAGTTTGATCGATCGTCGTCTCTGATCAATGTAGACGTCGGTTTTAAAGTCTGTGCTAGAGAAACACTAGGCTTTTATTAGTTATTCCTTTAGTGGTCTCGTTCAGACCCTGATGGTAGAAAAGAGCCGTACAAAAAAAGTACTATTTCCCGTGAGATAAATATTTTTTTCCAACTAATCCCCTAGAGTGAGAATAACATTCTATTATACATAAATTCTATTATGCAGGTTATTTGCTTCTAAAATTCTTTTAATGCTACAAGTGTATAAAGACAAAGAAAAGTGTAAAAGACTTAACAGGCGGATTTTAACGAGTAGCTTCGGTGCATTTCGTTGAAAGTGTTCCATTTCTGGTAGAGAGGAGTTGCGAGAGGTTGCATCCCTGAATGCGTATGCTAAAGAATCGCGATCTGGTGCGCATGAGCCAGCATGTAAACAGGGAATCGATATTCATGCAACGTTCTTTCAAGTTCATCGTCCCTTGTCTCTCTCCAGAGCGATGCCCGCGAAGAACCTTCTTTTGCACGGCACGTATTCGCTAATGTGATTGTCCGATCAACGGAAGTGTTTAATTAGGATATGTCAGGATGACTCGCTGAAATCGCTGCGTAAAACATGCTTAATCAATTAGCCTCGAAACGGATAGGGGGATGATAGGCGGCAGACAGGGAGACAGGGCAAAGGTGAGGTTTTCTCGATAATATGAATTGTTTTTCGCTGGTAATCTGTCGTTAAAAAATGTGCAAATTATCTTGAAAAGAGTTACTAGCTTCTTTTGCAATTATGATTTAGCTTCTGCCTGACGTAGCCAAGACATTACAGAGTTTATGTGTTATTGGAAAAATCTCCGCCTTCTCGAATATTCTCAATATTTTACGTTGAAAGAAGAACGATCCCACCCCTATAATGGCCGTCTTCGAGACCACGCGTTTGCTGTATCTACGTCTTGGCAACGGCGAAAATTGCTCGCCTACAATCTAGATTCCTTGTTCGCGCGTAGTCACGGATCCGAAGTTGTTTCTCAGTCGTTACGCACAACACAGCGGGAGAAACTCGGCGTGCTATCGATTCCAACACTCGCTCCGCCCCCACGAGGGAGAAGAACCCTTTACTACTCGTGGGAGGAGAGGGTGTACGGTCCTTAGCGGGGGTGGTGGATGTTACCAAAAACGTAGTCTCTCCTGGCTTCGAGTTTTCTCGAGGCGACGATTGCGTCCGAGCCGGACCGAACGGGGGGTCCATCTCTCGGCTCCTCCTCTTCTGTTCGTTCCCGTTTTCTTTTTTTTTCGTGATAAAACCGTCCACTTCATCGGGATCGAAAAGCATCGAAATGGGGAAGGAATGGACTGCCAGTGCGTTGTCGTGTACACGGTGATCTCGCCCTCGGCCACGATCGCACCCCCTTTACGCGCGCGATTAGAGCGAGCCCTCTCGCGATCCTCAACCCCCGGATGCATCTCTTGGCTTAGATACACCGTGAAAAGGTTAATTCCGATATACTGGCTTGTTGTCTCGTTACTCTCGCCGGCCGGTGTGCAGGTGTCAGTCTCTATAGTTACACACCTTAGCACGTGCTCCATTCGTGACGGGTGTGGTGCTCGCGGCGGACACCTCAACTAGCGAAGTAGCTAAATATTTTCTCGAATTGAACACACTCGTATTTCGAATAGTTGGACCTGCTTACCAGGTGATCCCGGAACATTGATTTTCTCTATCGTAACGCGATGACTAATTTTTTACATCGCAGTGAAATAATAACTAATTGAGAATGATTTTTCGTTCCTGGTCAGCCGGTTTCCGAAAAATTGCATTACTATATTGTTATGATAAGAGAATTAATGGTGTTTAAACGAGGAAGAAATAATACAGAATCGTGTAGACGCTGTTCGTGTCTTATTGGGACGTAATAACATCATTAAACGACGTATTTTTTTGCATTTGTCAACAGAGCCGTAGCTGCCTACTTGCGTGCATTGAATCTCAGCCCTAATAATGCGGTCGTGCACGGAAACTTGGCCTGCGTTTATTATGAGCAGGGGTAAGGCTTTCTTCCACTTTTCTTTTTATTAATCTTTTATACCGGCGCTAATCAATACTTTCCGCTTAACAGGCTTATTGACTTGGCGATCGACACGTACCGTCGTGCCATCGAATTGCAACCTAATTTTCCAGATGCGTATTGCAACCTGGCGAACGCGCTCAAAGAGAAGGGTCAAGTGGTGGAGGCGGAGGATTGCTACAACACCGCCCTTCGCTTGTGCCCGTCGCACGCCGATTCCCTTAATAATCTGGTACTTACACAATTTGTGATTCCGAAAGCTTGTCAGAAGACATACTTTGTCACTGCGAAAGTACTCTTATGCAATTGTCGTTCTCGACGCAGGCCAACATAAAAAGGGAACAAGGATACATCGAAGAAGCGACTCGACTGTATCTGAAGGCGCTCGAAGTGTTCCCCGAGTTCGCGGCAGCTCACAGCAACCTTGCTTCCGTGTTGCAACAGCAAGGAAAGTTAAACGAAGCGCTGATGCATTACAAGGAGGCTATTCGTATTCAGCCGACTTTCGCAGACGCTTACTCGAATATGGGCAATACCCTAAAGGAGATGCAAGATATACAGGGGGCTCTTCAATGTTACACGAGGGCTATTCAAATCAATCCCGCTTTCGCCGATGCTCATTCCAATTTAGCCTCGATTCACAAAGACTCCGGGAACATTCCTGAGGCGATCCAATCCTACAGGACCGCGTTGAAGTTGAAGCCTGATTTTCCGGACGCGTACTGCAATCTGGCGCATTGTCTGCAGATAGTTTGCGACTGGACCGATTACGAGGCTAGAATGAAGAAACTGGTCTCCATAGTGGCGGAACAATTGGACAAAAACAGGCTGCCGAGCGTACACCCGCATCATTCCATGCTCTATCCTCTTTCTCATGACTTCAGGAAAGCCATCGCAGCTAGGCATGCCAATCTTTGCATCGAAAAGGTTTCTATTCATCTAAATAGCAACGCCTGTGAAATGTTTCCTGCAGAAAGAATCTAAAATATTTCTTACGACTATTTCAGATCCACGTTTTGCATAAACAACCGTACAAGTATCCTCGCGAAGTTGGAACCCGCCTGAGGATCGGCTACGTGTCTTCAGACTTCGGAAACCATCCTACCAGTCACTTAATGCAATCGATTCCGGGACTTCACGATCGACAGAGCGTTGAAATATTCTGTTATGCGCTGAGTTCCGATGATGGGACAACTTTCAGAGCAAAGATTGCAAGGGAAGCTGAACACTTTATCGATCTCTCGCAGATTCCATGCAACGGGAAGGCGGCTGATCGCATCAACGCCGATGGAATACATATTCTAGTAAACATGAATGGTTATACGAAAGGTGCTAGAAACGAAATATTTGCTCTTCGACCGGCACCGATTCAGGTGATGTGGCTGGGATACCCGGGAACGTCTGGCGCTAGTTTTATGGATTATTTAATCACAGATGAAGTCACGTCGCCATTAGAACTCGCCACACAATACAGCGAGAAACTTGCTTACATGCCACACACGTACTTCATCGGAGATCATAAGTAGGTTTTTAGTAATTACGGGTAATTATACAGATTAGTGGAATACTTTATTAATTGTTGGAATTCTTTATCAGGCAAATGTTCCCACATCTCAAGGAACGACTGATCTTGACAGATAAATTGAACATGAAAGGAAAAGTAGCAGACAATGTAGCAGTGATAAATGCCACCGACCTGTCTCCGATGATCGAGAATACGTTGGTAAAGGAAATCCGCGAAGTAATTGTACCTGATGCCAAAAACAAACCCGTTGAAATCTCGTTGAAAGTCGCGGAGTTACCAACCACCACACCCATTGAGACGATGATCGCCTCTGGTCAGTGCCAGATGTCCGTCAACGGCGTTGTAGTCCAAAATGGCATGACCACGACGCAGGTGAACAATAAAACGGCAACGGGAGAAGAAGTGCCTCAGAACATTGTGATCACAACGAGACAACAGTACGGTCTTCCGGAGGACGCGGTTGTCTACTGCAACTTCAATCAGCTGTATAAAATTGACCCTCTCACACTTCACATGTGGGCACATGTGAGTGTCTCATCATTTTTAGCTTCCACGTAGAAGCGAATTCTATACGTTAATTCTAATATTAACTTGCAGATTCTGAAACACGTGCCCAATTCGGTGCTATGGCTGCTTCGTTTCCCAGCGGTTGGCGAGCCTAACTTGCAGGCCACAGCTCAACAATTAGGCTTATCACCCGGCAGGATTCTGTTCAGCAACGTCGCGGCGAAGGAAGAGCATGTCAGGCGAGGACAATTAGCCGATGTCTGCTTAGATACGCCACTCTGCAACGGTCACACTACTAGTATGGACGTCTTGTGGACCGGAACGCCGGTGGTTACACTGCCAGGAGAGACGTTAGCGTCACGCGTCGCTGCAAGTCAATTGAATACCTTAGGCTGTCCCGAATTAGTAGCACGAACGAGACAAGAGTATCAAGATATCGCGGTTCGTTTGGGCACAGACAGGGAATAGTAAGTGAATGATAATCATTTTGGTCGTCTAGCTTTTTATAACTGTGTTCTATCTGCAGTTAAATTGGTTCTTTATAACTTGAAGATTTTAATCCATAACAATTTTTCAGCTTGAAAGCGATAAGGGCAAAGGTATGGAAGGCCAGGTCAGAGAGTCCTCTATTCAGCTGTAAACTGTATGCGTCTGGCATGGAGATGTTATACAGGAAGATGTGGGAGCGTTACGCACGAGGTGAAAAGCCTGACCACGTGGCCGCTGTAGATAAGAATGAAAGAGAGAAGCTTACGAACTCATCTTAAGGCGACACATTACGTTTTAATTTATATACACACCACACACACACACAAACACACATACTACACATAGCTTTAATTCCGTGAACATCTGTTTTCTGGGGACTTAGCATTTAAAGACAGATGGTTATCGACATCCTATTTGACCCAAGATACGGTTCTTATAAGAAATTCCCAACCGCGCTGGCAATTACTGTTTTGTACGATAAAATCATCGAGCTTAGAATTTATTACACGTAGAAAAATACAAATACGTCGGTGCGCGATACTTCGATTCGGCACCTGAACATATGTGATGGATTCTTGATGCCGTATGAGTCACGAGAAAACAATTACGCTTGCTTCCTACGTTGTGTATCATTTTCACCCTGTTATTTATATATTAACAATTTTTCGTATAATGTCTCGACTTACAAAGAATCATAATCTCTCGTGGTTTCTTAACTTTCGACGATTAGCTTGGTGAGAGCGAGTATAATAGAAGAGACTATTGAATAATTATATTACGCAAAACGGTGCACAAGCATACGAGTATAGTGACGAGATTCGTATCACTAATTTTATAACACGTTGCCGATACCGCGGCTTACGATTCGTAATGCTGTGCGGATTTCGATGACTCTTGACGCGTCTTGTAGGTGACCTTGGGGAACTATGAGGGTGATTTTTTTCTGGTTGTTATTCGTCGTTCGACGCGAATACGATTTAGCTCGTAAAGAAAGATGTGCGTCGAGAACGATGGGAGGGGGGTGGGAGGGGGGAGAGATATGTTAGAGCGAAGTATATAGGTTCTACACGTCAAGATGTTAATTAATTAGCAACTGCTCTGACAGCAAAGAACGCAAGTTGTATTATATACGATCAAGTAATGATACACGTGTAAATATTAAAGAAAGGTAACCGTTAGTTAATACTTTAGTTCGATAGTGAAACTGCGTAAATTAAGAGCGAAATAAAAAAAAAAAGTTGCGTGAGATAGCGAGGTGTTGACTGTAGCGAAAAAACTTCTGATGTACGTCTATAGAATAAAAACAAACAGTTAAGAATCTAATTGGAAAGAATATGAACAAAATATTGTGTTGAGAAGGATACTTCGGTGAATAGGTACGTAAAGTTCCTTTATTTCTTTCGATTCGATCGGTCCGTAAGACAACATTCGGCCTTTTGATATTAATTATCACAGTGCGAAGTCGACGTTAGATAGAAAAGTATTCCTTGAATTTAATTAACCGTTCTTGCGACCGACTTTTATTCTCCGCGCGACAACTGAAGAATATAGAATGGAGTCTTTTCTTTTTTTTTCTTTTTATTTGCAAGGTCCATTTCATAGTCTAGAACCGCATTTTAGACGAGTAGGAAGACTGCGTGATATCCTATTAAATTTTTCTGTATGTGTGACCTCATCCGCCCACTGTGTATTATCAGCATTGCACGTTCTCGATAACGAGTAACTGTCCCATTACGCACAATTTGCGTCGCAGATACAGATTTAAGAGTAGCTTTAAACAAAATCCCCGTTCTGCAAATTCTGCCGGTAGGATAACGTTCAAACCAAACGTAACAATTTTTCGAACACTAGATGCTGACTTTTAAAGTCGATATTCTAAACCTACATTAACAACGTGGAAGATAATTTTAACGATTCCGAATTGGTTGAACGAATTTTAACCGGACGCCGTGGTGAAATTCTTTGCAATTTATGCTCAATGATACTTTATAAACATATATAGACGACGAAGATTCGAACGACGAGAATATTTTTGGTAACGAGAAAAAGGAATCTATGAATTGCATCGTTTCGAAAAGAGATTGTTATCTTCAGTTCTATCGTGGTCGAGAATAAACAGTTTGTACCTTACTCTGTCCATCTCCATTAACACCACGTTCTTCCGTTAAAAGTGTACCGCCTGTAAACCTAATTTGTTCCGTCATTTTCGCGAGCAATATCCCGATCCCTTTTCGCTATTCAATCCGTTGACAATTTCGCATATCAATTTATTTTACAATATTCTGATACTTCCTAAATAGACTTCAGATTTTATGCATTCATAAAAGGCAAAACTGTAAAAATATTAGGAGAATTTATGTACATATACTGCTATAATATTCCTGTTTATTGCTTCAAACAACCCTAGTAATTAATTACCCTCTAGATAAGTCAACCCTTGCAAACTCAGGTTGAAAATCTCTGACTACAATTCTTTCATATTATTATTATATTATTCCTGTCTATTGCTTCAAACGACCCTAGTAATTAATTACCCTCTAGATAAGTCAACCCTTGCGAACTCAGGTTGAAAATCTCTGACTACAATTCTTTTACGGCCTAAATGCGGATATATTTCTTTGACTCCGGATTTATCATGAGCATATTGAAACTCTTCCGGTGCGAAGTTTTGCAGAGTCACTGTTGAGACCTCAATGGCTCGAATTGGCCAGGCTGAGCGATACTCCACGAAGATTGGATCGTTTTTGTGTACGGAGATTATAATGGGAACTAGGTCATCCATGAAAGCAATGCGGACTAGGAAAAAGGACGAAAAAAGGCGAATGCTTCGGAGTGTTGTCGCAGGAGAAAGAAAGTGATGCCATTCCTTTGGGGCTCTAATTGGAGGTTCTGCGCAAGGCTAGAGCGATGGGTTTCGCGGCGATAGAGCACGACATGGCATCGTGGCCCTTAGCCGCAGTATCGATTGCTTGTGCCACCACCATGCGAGGGTGAAACTGGGTCGAAAGCATCCTCCACGGGTTCCCTCTTTCCATCCTGCTTGCTCTGCGAAAGAGTACCGGGGCTCCATCTTCAGTCGCCGCTTGTCACTAGCGGTGCCCATTATTTAAATGCCAGCTCGTAATCCAAGAGCCGTTTCTCGATCATAACTTGCCGGCTCGAGCTGGCATTTCCTTTCGAAATACGTTATCCTTACAAAAATTCTAGACTCGTTGCATTGATTCGCATAAATATGCATGGGCGATCTATCGCCTATGGTTAAAGAAGAAATAACGAAGTACACCGCAAAATAAGGGAAAACAATTATCCAGCCGCAACGATGACCGATCTTATATTTTACCAAACGTTTACAAAACATTATATTTTTTAATAGTATACTACTTTTTATTTTAACATCGATCCGATTCACAAAGAAAAAGGCCTTAATTCTAGAACTACCAAAGCCGGCACAAAAGGATGGACCCCAGATTCTTTATTTTAGAATTATTAAGATTGTAAAGATGTTTCTGCAAGCAATTACTTGTACGCTAAGAACAAGATCTTAAAGATTGATTGTAGGCATTAATATGTGAAACAACGTAAATTGTTTCTAACGTTTCATTATTTATTTACGATAAATTAGTTATTTGGATTATTAACATGTCTAAGAGTATTTATTTATCTTAGATCTTCAGGAAAGTTAGAAGATTCTAAAACGTTCGAGGGACTAGCATCCTGTACGGGTTAGGGGATGAAGTCACCCCTTGCAGAATTTCCCTTTTCTCGTGAAATATCTCTAGAAAGGTGAAGGATAATGGAAAATTTATTTAGACAAAAATTGCATTACTTTTCAGTATCAACGAAATTAGGTAAAAATAATTTTCGAATTATCCCCATTACTCTTTGGAACCAAGATTAATTGGTATAATTTCAAACATCGGACTCCGAACTCCTAAGTCCCTATTTTCATTAATTTTTTGAACACTGAAATGAGTAAATTGGGTAGAAACGTTTATTCAAGGCTTTCTTGCAACCTAGACATTTTTCTATGCAAAAATGCTGAAAGATCCGCAGCCAACCAACCCTTTCGTCGGGCAAGAAAGCGAAGTTAGAGTCTAACGACGGTGTAGAAGGTGTCAATAAACGGATGAGCAGAAACCAGGTTAGGTTCTAGTTAAATTGGGTTTCTACACAGACTTCTATGTATATAATACACTAGACTGCGAACTTGGCCGAACCGAGTGAAGCAAATTAGCACTGTGGTAGGGATGGCGGCCATTTGTCAATAGGTACAAAATAGTTGCCACTACCAACTTTTCGATATCGCTGGCAATTTACAAATCCACATTTTCTAAGCATTTTTTATCTCCTTAATCCTTCGTAACGATAGTTTACATTACACCCATTTTTGTCAACAACGATTACATTACAAAATTTTTGCAAAGGTTTTACGTGTGTTTTCTTTTGCTATCCGATGCTACGGTTCGATACAAATACTACCCGCTGTATCCGTGTGGTAAATAGTTATTGACAAATAGCTGAAATAGCTGTCGTGCCTCACCTTGGTGCGCAACGCAATATAGCACGTTCGTAGTCTAGTGCATTATGTACATGGAAGTCTCTGGGTTTCTAGAGTTCAGCTCTGCCGTGCCGTACAAAGAATCGGAAGGTTCGGACGGGAAGCTCGCTGCGTTGAAAACTGCGACATGAAAATCCGAATGCTCATTGCTGCTGGCTCGTTCGGGTGGTTCGCGTTTGAGTTCGTGTTTCGAGCTTCGAGGCAGGAGGGGATCCTTGACATAAATAATCAGCAGTGGAGCACCGCGGTACTGCCCCCGTAGTCATGGTAACACCATCGATCGAGGCCTACTACGAAGTCGAAACTAGCTACCCTCCTCGCGCCACACACTTCTTTCTCATCCCCCATCCTTCTCTCCCTTCTCTCTCTCTTTCTCTCTCTCTCTCTTTCTCTCTCTCTCTCTTTCTCTCTCTCTCTCTCTCTCTCTCTCTTACACCCTCTCTCTCTCTCACCCTCTCGCTGCTCTGCTCTCTTTCGCTCGCGTTTCTTTCGACTCCTTTACCCTCGGTTTTCTCACCTCCACCCTCGCTTTGTCGTTCCTTCCGCTTACACTGCGATTCTTTCTGCTTCTTTTTCTCCATTTGTTGCGTTTCCTCGCAGTTGGATGCATTCCCTTCAATTTCCTTGTGCTCCACTTTCCCGGAGCTTCTCCCATCTAACCCCCTTTACGTTCTGGCTCACCTTAGCACTTAGACAAGCATTCTCCGTTATTCGACAAAGTTTTTCTCTTCGCGGACAAGAAACGTTTCACCCTCCCGCCCCTCTCGAACACCATCGCGTCCGAAGATCCAATCACTTTCCATTGTTTCCGGACGTTTTCCCACGGAGCTGTTCCGGCACTTTGGCGTCTAATTGCCGCCGCAATTACAGTCAGCATTGACTCTATTCATTTGCCGAGGCCCGAGAGCTAGAGCGGACCCAGCTAGTCAGCTCCAGACACAGATTTCAGATCTCTGATAAATAGGCGTCTGTGGCTTCTGTGATTACGTATTAGGAGAATTCGAATCGGCACTCGGCAATATCGAACGTGGACAACGAGAGCCGTCGTGCTAATTTCAAGAGATACGCAAAACTGCTTTTACAATTAGACAGAACGCACCGGTTACACTGACGACCCTGATCGAGGAAAGCGTTCCCAGAAAGCTAGCACAGGCCACGCCGATGCCATCGCTTTTATCTATTTTTATCTATCGCTACGCTTCTCGGAAGACCGTATCCGATATGCTGTACGAGGAACGTTGCTGCAACCGCCTGTATCTTTTCTGCTAAGTGTGGCTGGAATGGCTCGTGACTAAACACGGCTCTATACTCCGGCGAAATCCTGAGCTCAACGCGTTCGCATCGACGCGAAGCAACATGGTGCACACATGCCCGTCCGATACGAAGGCATCCTCGATAAATTAACCGGCTCGGCTATTAATCGCCGATATCGCCGGCCAGATAAAATTGCCCGGAACAATAAATTAACATTATTTCGGGCACGTTGATTCCCTTCGTTTATCGCTGCCAGGAAACTCTTCGCGTTGCCATCGGGAGCTGAATCAGGGCGAATCGGAACCGCGATACCGGCGGCGCATCCGATCAGAGAGCCTTTTGGCTTCCGAGTACGTACACTGTGAGAACGCTCGTTTCTTTTTTCGCCGCGGTGATATAAAGCGCATAAGTTTAATTTCGAAAAATTGCGTTCGTTCCGGACGCGAATTCAATGTCGATGTAAACACGATATTGCAAAGTAATTGGCTTGTGCTGTGGAGCAGCGCTGTTTGCAACGGTGTCGCGTACGTCAACGCGTTCTATCGGATGTCGACTTTTTTGTCGATTCACATCGAAGTAACGTTGTTATACAATAATGTTATGGAAAAAAGTATGCGCTTGGATACTACTATTACATNCTCTCTCTCTCTTTCTCTCTCTCTCTCTTTCTCTCTCTCTCTCTCTCTCTCTCTCTTACACCCTCTCTCTCTCTCACCCTCTCGCTGCTCTGCTCTCTTTCGCTCGCGTTTCTTTCGACTCCTTTACCCTCGGTTTTCTCACCTCCACCCTCGCTTTGTCGTTCCTTCCGCTTACACTGCGATTCTTTCTGCTTCTTTTTCTCCATTTGTTGCGTTTCCTCGCAGTTGGATGCATTCCCTTCAATTTCCTTGTGCTCCACTTTCCCGGAGCTTCTCCCATCTAACCCCCTTTACGTTCTGGCTCACCTTAGCACTTAGACAAGCATTCTCCGTTATTCGACAAAGTTTTTCTCTTCGCGGACAAGAAACGTTTCACCCTCCCGCCCCTCTCGAACACCATCGCGTCCGAAGATCCAATCACTTTCCATTGTTTCCGGACGTTTTCCCACGGAGCTGTTCCGGCACTTTGGCGTCTAATTGCCGCCGCAATTACAGTCAGCATTGACTCTATTCATTTGCCGAGGCCCGAGAGCTAGAGCGGACCCAGCTAGTCAGCTCCAGACACAGATTTCAGATCTCTGATAAATAGGCGTCTGTGGCTTCTGTGATTACGTATTAGGAGAATTCGAATCGGCACTCGGCAATATCGAACGTGGACAACGAGAGCCGTCGTGCTAATT